GTGTGAAATATCTTCCGCCCCCCAGCGGAGCGCTTCGGCGCCTCTGCGAAGCAAAGCGCGGCATTCAAAAACAACAACCAAAATTGCCGTCGCTTCCCTGCCCTGCAATGGCTGGAGCAGAAGAGAGAGAGAGAGAGAAGATTTTAGTCTCATTGGATCAGAGAATGGCAGTGGGCAGGCTTATGGCAGTAGGCTCGCGCTCTATCAATTACACTTGCCAGGTCTCTCTTCACGTTTGGACATTATTTACTCCGATCTCTCTCTCTCGGCCGCTGCGTCGCCACCTACTAGTTTTCCGTCACAGCATATGCTGCGGCCTTTCCAGTCGGAACAGGGGCTCCCCTTCGCGCTGCTGTCTGCCCCGGCTTAGCGGACTTGCGTTGGCTGATCACCCCGTCTTCGCGTCTGTGCCGGCCTTCAATGCAGCGCCCGACCGTCTCTTGACCGAGATTCATTGCACTATTCCACGCGCAAACGGCTACCCTAAATGTGCATAGACAACGCTCATGGTTCAACACGACCAGGGCGCAGTCTGGGAGCCGAGTATACTAAAAAGAGAGTTTAGCAGCCAAAACTCGTCAAAGCACACGTTGGGTTACCCCATCACCTAACAACGATGATGGCGGTTCCCACCCGTGAAATACACAACCTAACCAATATTGGGCGACGATGGCGCTCATGAGCCCACGTCCCCACAAACAGTAAGAGAAAGAGAGAGGAGGAGATTGGCCAATGTGCGGTCCCTCGCCCAATGTCTTATGCCTCGCTGGGGCAAAGAGAAGAGAAGAGGAGCGGATAAGGGAGGAGATTGGCCAACGTGCGGTCCCTCGCCCAATGTCGGCTGCCTCGCGGGAGCTGGGTAAAGAGGAGAGGAGCGGATAAGGGAGGAGATTGGCACACACGGTGGCGCTGCCGGCGCCGAGGATAGCAAGAGAAGGTGCAGTTTGATCTGATCATCTGGTTTGCTATTTCTCTAAGGCCAAAGTGCGGTCCCTCGCCCAATGTCGGCTGCCTCGCTGGGGCAAAGAGAAGAGGAGAGGATAAGGGAGGAGATTGGCACACACGGTGGCGCTGCCGGCGCCGAGGATAGCGAGAGAAGGTGCAGTTTGATCTGATCATCTGGTTTGCTATTTCTCTAAGGCCAACGTGCGGTCCCTCGCCCAATGTCTTCTGCCTCGCTGGGGCAAAGAGAAGAGGAGCGGATAAGGGAGGAGATTCGCCAACGTGCGGTCCCTCGCCCAATGTCGGCTGCCTCGCTGGAGCTGGGGCAAAGAGGAGCGGATAAGGGAGGAGATTAGCACACACGGTGGCGCTGCCGGCGCCGAGGATAGCAAGAGAAGGTGCAGTTAGATCTGATCATCTGGTTTGCTATTTCTCTAAGGCCAACGTGCGGTCCCTCGCCCAATGTCTTCTGCCTCTCTCTCAATCTCACTATTTTGGCCGCCGTGATAGGCGCCGCCAACAGCAGCAGCTACCTGGTTGATCCTGCCAGTAGTCATATGCTTGTCTCAAAGATTAAGCCATGCATGTGTAAGTACAAGCCGATTTAAGGCGAAACCGCGAATGGCTCATTAAATCAGCTATGTTTCATTGGATCTGTAAGCCCACTTACTTGGATAACTGTGGCAATTCTAGAGCTAATACATGCAATTGGTCTCTGACCGCAAGGGAAGAGCGCTTTTATTAGTTCAAAACTGGTCGGGCCCCGGTCCGTAACCCACCTGTGGTGAATCTGAATAACTTCGGGCTGAGCGCACGGTCTCCGCACCGGCGCCGCTTCTTTCAAGTGTCTGCCTTATCAGCTTTCGATTGTAGGTTATGCGCCTACAATGGCTATAACAGGTAACGGGGAATCAGGGTTCGATTCCGGAGAGGGAGCCTGAGAAACGGCTACCACATCTAAGGAAGGCAGCAGGCACGCAAATTACCCACTCCCGGCACGGGGAGGTAGTGACGAAAAATAACGATATGAGTCTCATCCAGGCCTGCGCCCAATCGGAATGATACACTGGAAATCCTTTAACAGTATCCCATTGGAGGGCAAGTCTGGTACACCAGCAGCCGCGGTAATTCCAGCTCCAGCCAGCGTATATTAAAGTTGTTGCGGTTCACAAAAAAGCTCGTAGTTGGATCAGTTCGGACTGGCCCGATTGCACGCCGGTGTTTACTGTCACATCCGAACAACCCGCCCGCCGGCTCGCCGCAGATGCTCTTTGCAGCCGATGTCGAGTGGCGGAAGAGTTTACTGAAAAAATTAGAGTGCTCAGAGCAGGCTATTTGAATGGCCCCGAATAGTGATACATGGAATAATGGAATAGGACCGGTTCTGTTTTGTTAGTTTCGGAACCAAGTAATGACCTTCAATCGGAACAGGCGGGGCATTAGTATTGCGACGTAAGTGAAATTCTTGGACCGTCGCCAAGACGAACTGCTGCTGAAAACGTTGCAAGGATGTTTTCATTAATCCAGAACGAAAGTTAGAGGTTCGAAGGCGATCAGATACCGCCCTAGTTCTAACCATAAGCGATGCCAACTAGCGATCCGCCGGCGTTATTCCCATGACCCGGCGGGCAGCTTCCGGGAAACCAAAGTCTTTGGGTTCCGGGGGAAGTATGGTTGCAAAGCTGAAACTTAAAGGAATTGACGGAAGGGCACCACCAGGAGTGGAGCCTGCGGCTTAATTTGACTCAACACGGGAAACCTCACCAGGCCCAGACACCGGAAGGATTGACAGATTGAGAGCTCTTTCTCGATTCGGTGGGTGGTGGTGCATGGCTGTTCTTAGTTGGTGGAGCGATTTGTCTGGTTAATTCCGATAACGAACGAGACTCTGGCCTACTAAGTAGTGGAAGCGGATCTCCAGAAAATGGTGTCCAGTTCATAACTTCTTCTTAGAGGGATGGCGGCAATTCTGGCCACTTGCAGTTAAAACAATAACAGGTCTGTGATGCCCTTAGATGTTCTGGAGCACGCTGCCTTGTCTTCTACACTGAAGGGATCAGCAGTTTTCCCCCCTCCCGAAGGCGGGTAACCCGTTCAAAGCCTTTCTTGATAGGGATTGGGGCTTGCAATTGTTTCCATGAACGAGAATTCCCGGTAAATTAGAGTCATCAACACGCTGACTACGTCCCTGCCCTTTGTACACACCGCCCGTCGCTACTACCGATTGAATGATTTAGTGAGGCCTTCGGACTGGCGCTCTTGGATTGTCGGCCCCGTTGCCCGCGAGGGTTTTCTGGGGTCGTCGCCTCGAGCTGACGGAAAGATGTCCAAACTTGATCATTTAGAGGAAGTAAAAGTCGTAACAAGGTTTCCGTGGGTGAACCTGCGGAAGGATCATTAACAGAGAGAAAGAGAACGGGGCGCTCTTAAAACTACTACTACTACTCTCCTGATTTGGGCGGTCTCGGGCTCTGCTCTGGCAACTCCAGCAGCGAAAGAGGACAATCCCGGCCCCCGCACCAAAAATAGGTACCACCACGCTGTAGGTGGACCACACTCGGGCGAGAGCGCGAAGACCGGAGGAGGAGGACGGACGGGGCTTTGGACGGCTGCCCGTCCGTTCCTTACTACCGGCGAATAAGCCTCTTGACCCAAAAAAAGTGAAATTCAAGTGTCAAAAAACAACAACAAGCCGTCCGGCCAAACCCAAACCACAAACTTGGAGGCTATGTCTGTCAAACCCTTTCATTGAGACTTCGACCTGTGATGGTTAGTCATAAAAGACCAAATGGCAAAATACTGGCACTCTTAACGGGGATCACTCAGCCATTGGGTCGATGAAGACCGCAACCATGCGTGTCATTATGCTGAATCGCAAGAATACCAGATACATCGACAAGTTGAGCATATTGCGTGGCGGCAGCCATATGAAGCTTGTCGCGCCACTCCTCTCAGTCGGAAATATACATCCATAATCGGTTGCTGCGAGTTGGTGCCTGCTGGCTGTCTCCCGGCTGCGAGGGTAAGCGAACCGAGCTTCCGCAGCCAGGGTTTAATCGCCCGCGCCTGGCAGGCGTGCCCCCTTAAAAACAAGCAAGCCTATCACTATGAAGTCCATGAACTGGCGCACCCCCATTCAACACAACAAAGCGACAGTTGTCGCCCTCATAAATAACTGGAAGCGGTGGCTCTTTTGCCTGCTGTCCACAGAGACACGAATGGCCGTCGGCCGCTCATGGCTGATGCTGCACATGTTCTAAGAGGCACTCCATCCCACGAAGAGGAAACGAAACCGGGTCGGATATCTTTTAAGTAAGCCCCGCCGAATTTCGTCTATCACCTCGAAAAGAGTGCTTGGCATGCATTGCAGTGGAACCTAAATTGATGAGTGCGCCTGGGCCCGCAGTCTACCATGTAGTGGTGCAGGCAGAGAGATGAGAATGCTTGGGTGACGCCGTGCTCTTCCTCACGCGCTCCTCCACCCTCTCCCACGGTCAGACGCGGTGTGGGCGTTCTCTTTGAGAGTTCGCCACGAGTCCACGTCTATCTCATGACTGGGAGGGAGGCAGGGGAGTTCTCTCTAAACGCGTTAAAGACGGTGTTGCGCCTCATAACGGCGCTCGCCGGGATAGAGCACTAGTTCTGCAGCCGGAAAGGCCGCTCACGCCAATTAATACTGCGACTCTCGCTCTCTTTATCCGGATAAACAAGTGCCACTGCTGTGGCATGCGGGAACGGGGAAAGAGGTCAAAGTTTAAGCGGCAAAGGTGCGGCCGAGTAAGGGCGGAACACGAGCGTATATGCATTAAAACTGTGTGTGTATATGACTCTGCGAGAGATGTTCTGCTGGAACACTTTTCCTATTGGCTATTTACCACTCAATGAGAAGGAACGGAGTCAGGGGTGGGAGTGCCGGCGCCATGGCCGCTGGTACCCCCGCGACAAGCCCCTCAAACCTTCCTGCCTGGTAATGTCGGTGGTGAAGAAAGTCGGTGGCAGAGCGTCTTCCGCTTCGTGGTTGGGGAACTTGTTCCCCCTAAGGATGATGAGACCACGAT